ACTGTGCAGGTATCATTATTACATGTGTGATGCCTGTGCTGTGTGGCAAACTTAATTTTTAGCCAATGAAGAATTAATTTATATAAATTTTGGGACCATTTTTGAAAGCTGTAATTTGTAGCGATGATACAATGAGCAAAAATAAAAAGATAAGGCTATACTGACCAATATTAAATAAAAAAAAACGATATTTGTGGTTGACTGTTGCCATGGTGAGGGGTTCTTTTTTTTTGAGTGAAGTATTAAGAGTCTTTGTAAGAGAGAAATGTTAGGTGACTTGAGAATATGGTGGTATTCTGGTTTGTATGGTGGTATTCAAATGGTGAACCTTTCAGTCAGGCTGGCTCAGTCTGTGGCACTGAAAATAAAACATTACATGTCTGGAATATGACGACATCTCCTTGATGCTGAGCTGCAGCTGCTTCTTTGTACATTGTACATCTCAGCAGCTATCTGCTTCTCTTTATCTCCATGTCAGGCTTTGTTACTGATTTATTTTAATGGAGGTAGCCAGTAAGGGATAATGGCTTTCTTTATGTAGCACTCTTGATTATGTGTCCTTAATATCTGCCCATTCTTGCATGTGTGTGTGTGTGTGTGTGTGTGTGTGTGTGTGTGTGCTAGTGGGCGTATTTTCTGGGGCCTTGGCAGGGTATTTCAATTTTGCTTCATGCAGAGCTGCAGAAACCTCACATTTACTCTTCTTGCTTTCTTTGTGTTTTATTCTTTTATTCACTCTTTTGAAGTGCTCTCACTGTTTTGTCAAAATGCACCCCATGTGTTTTGGAGGTATTTCAGTGCAATTTTTAAACACGTACGAGATGTATTTTTCGGCTGGCCCAGCAGTGAAGAAAAGACATGAAAACACTGTTAATGTGCTGACCCAGTTTTACTACTCTGTGTGGTAAAAATCTTTTTACAGACATTGCATTAATCTGCCCTTTTTGTGACCATGAAGGTGACACCTGCGCACATGTGTTTGAACAGCAAGAGCTTGTAATGTCCTGTGTATTTTTGCCATCGCAGCGAGAGAGTGAATGGCACAAAAAAGCACAAAAAAGAGCCAGCAGCAGTGCATAGTGTGTCTCATTAGCTTCAGAGCAGAAAAAAGGAGGCTGAGAGAAAAGAGAGAGAGAGAGAGAAAGTGGTCTATGTGGACCTCAGAGGTGCCAAGCTCTGCCTGCTTGTTCCCTGGAGGGCGGTGCTGTGATGTGGATGGAGCTTGTGGGCAAAGAAATTCAATGCTGGTCATGCGCGGTTCACCTTTAATCACAGACACCCTCACTTCAGGCCTGCTACAGTAGCTTTTAACAAGTGATAGTTTCAAATATGGCTCCTATTAGCTCTGAATGAAGCCAGATGACAACGTGCACACACACCAGTGACTAGTTGGAGTCCACTGTGCTTTTAGGCAGCTACTTTGGACAGATATTTCCATGGGTAGAATATAACTTAAGACATTTCATCAAGTAGCTGCTGCACTTAATTGCACAGGAAAAATTTAAGCAATTTAAACACTTCCTTCTTAAACATTTCCTGAATTTTGGTGAATTTTCAGCACCAGTTTGAGCCTTTTCTGCATCAATTTAAGGTTTAAATGTATTTTAATATGTCTACGCAAAGGTCCTCTGCTACTTTTATGTTGGTATTGTCCCCTGCTCTCTCCCCCCAAAATCTACACCTATGACTCCACTGCATCTCGGAGATAAATATTATACTTTGTGCTTCACTACCTTTGCCTGACAGCTTCAGTTACTTTAAAGATTATAATCTTTTATACCCCTCCTGCACAGGACAGAGATGCTACAAACATACACTGGGGCGTGGGCTTCCTGTCAACATGGGGAGGGACTCTTATGAAAGGGGGGGCTTGGGGGTTCTCCACCAAAATAATGGAGCATCAAACACTTCATTTCCCTCATCCATCCATCCATTTTAATCCACTTATCCTGGGTTGGGTCAGGAAGGCAGCAGGCCGAGCAAAGCGCCCCAAATGTCCCTCTCCCCAGCAACGCTTTCCAGCTCCTCCTGGGGGACCCCAAGGCACTCCCTGCCCAGATCAGATATATGATCCCTGCAGTGTGTTTCCTACATTCTAGTGAATTTTTATGCAACATTTTGTGCCTTTTCTGCATTAATTGATGTTGCAAATGTCTTTAAGTTTTGTTAAAAGCAAAGTCCTCTGCACTCTTAACTTGTATTGAGTGAAGGGTGTGCAGGCCTGCAGTGAGGTACAGTGATCTTATACAAGGATGTCAGTTTGTGAGCATCAATCGCTATGTTAACATGCACAGTTTAGTCAAGCTATGGTTACAGCTTGACTAAGCCATTTAATTCGACTACTGTCCTTGTCCCAGTATATAAGCACAGGAGGGGAATCGACTTCTTGACCAAAGTATGTCAAACTGGGCTACTATTGGTGGCAGTGTGGCCTCTTTCAACCTGTTGTTCCTGGACCTTTTTCCGGTTAACCTATAACGTCACAGACCAGACAATCAACAAACAAGGTAGCTAAAGTTAGCTAGCGGCAAAGTGGTATCATGGTGTTGTCCTCCCATCCATGTATTTCAGAGTATTTGACTCTTTCAGCTGCCACAGCATGATTTGTGTCTCCTTGTCTGTCCAATAATGCATGGCTGTGGATATAGATTTTGCCATGTTGTTACTAGCTTATTCTTCTGTTACGCTTTTAATGCTATTTGACTTCTGGGTCACAGCCAAGGATGGAAACTGTGGAGCATGCGTAGAGTACCTCGGCCAGTTTGGGTCTGATTGACTGTATACATGCAGGAGTAATTCTACTTCCAATCGCATTATCTGGATGTGTTAGTCCAACTTTGACAAGTTCGATTTAGTACGATTTCAGTTGGACTAACATGTTAACATGGATTACATGGAAATCCAGTTTTAGTCAGGCTGACACAATAAATCGGTTTTCTCTTGTCATGTAAAATGTATTGAAAGCTAAGCATCAAACACTTAAAGGGGAACGAAGCCCATTTTCAAAAGTCAGACATGTTATTCCTATGGTCTAAGGCAGCCCAAAAATATTAGTAAACATGAACAACTCTCGCTCAAATCCTAAAACTAGAGTGCTCAGACTCAAATTTGTGATGTCATAGGGTATCAAGTCTGGAGCTGCTCCATAGACAATGAATTCGTAAAGATGTTCTTGATGACACTGAGAGCAGCCAGGGGAATTGTTGTATGTGGGTACATTTTCTGTTTCAGAACTGAGAACACTACAATACAATAAAGCTAATTTGGATATAAAGAAGAAAACAAGCATTCTGTGGGTCCATAAAATCAGTCTCTGATCCACTTTATACCCTATGACATCACAGGTTTGAGACTTACTTCTCTGGTTTCAGGCTTTGAGAGCGAGTAGCTCATGTTCTTGAATATTGACTGAACTTTCCTCGACCATGGCAATAACATATTGGAACTCTTAATTTGTGTGGTGTTCCCCTTTAATTTACTGCATTATGGTGCTTTTTTTTATGAACCAATATCATCCGTTTCTGCACCAACATATGGTGGAAATGTCTTTAAATACTCTGCTACTTTCATGCTGTTATTGGGGGGAACAAATGCTTGTGTTCTAAATATTAACGGAGACGAGTCCCTTGCATCTCCCCCGAAATCAACCGAAATGATTGTACAGAATATGATGCACTGCTGTTGGTTAAATTACCCAATAAAATAGTTAAAATTAACACAACCACATCAGTAAAATGCAGCATAGACATTAATGCAGCAGCAATATTAACATGAAAAACATCATACAATGGGCGGCACGGTGATGTGGTGGTTAGCACTGTCGCCTCACAGCAAGAGGGTTGCCGGTTCGATCCCGGGCGACCTGTCCAGGGTGTACCCTGCCTCTTACCCGATGTCAGCTGGGATAGGCTCCAGCCCCCCCACGACCCTCAAGAGGATGAAGCGGTTAGAAGATGAATGAATGAATGAATGAATGAATGAATGAATGAAAACATCATACAGTAAAACACTGACAGGACCATTTTTTGGCATAATGAGTACCTTTTGAGTACATTTGACGGACTTCTTCCCCTACTGGATTTTTCTCACACACAAATGTGTCAAATATTACACTGTACCCAGGATCATGTCATCCCAGGATGCAGCCCCACACTGCCCCCTGTTGTTGCACAGGTAGAAAACACTTCACATATCTGAAAGGAAGAATGGGACCAGTGGATAATTGAAGGTCTTCATCATCAAGGGCAGAAAGGCAAGCTCATATAGCAGTTGTATAAGATAATGAAATGCGTTTCCATGTAGGAGAGCTTGATGCATTCAAGCTCTGCATCTGCTGAAGTGCAGCCATTAGCCCTCCCCCCTGCTGCTGCTAGGCTGACGCGTGTCACTGCGCACGAGCCTTCTTCCATCATCCCACTCAGCGGGCAATGACAGTAGGGCACGTGTTTCTTCACACCTCACACACAAATGGCTGCACATACGGAGATACTGAAAGGTGAAAAGGTTGAAGGGTTGGAGAGCTTGAGCTTGAGTTTGTGCTGGCAAGAATTTAACAAATCAAACTCCGCTTTTACTTATTGTATCTTGGATTTAAACACACATCTTGTTCAAATCACATCACTAAATAGGCCTGTTGGACTGAAATGACACTTATATAATGCGCAAACCCTATAGTGGCTCCATAGTGAGTGAGGAGAGCTGGTGCGCACATTTAATCAAATATACAGTATATTTTAAATGTGTTTTAAATAAGCCACTATTTCACAAGAGATGCTTTTTAAAAAATTCTACATTCAATATTACGAAAGAAAGTGACCATATGGCTGGAGTTTGCTGAAGTGTGACTTCGCACCTCACCACCGTGGCGCATGGAGACACTTGGAGACGCGTCAAAGCGCAATTTGGCACCGACTGCCGGGGCCATGATAAATAGAAGCTTCCTTCCTTCAGTCTCACATCTTCAGCGGACTTGAACGCAGGACCGATCACTACAAGGAGCCATGGAGACTTTCGGTACCGAGAGTGGATTAACTTGTGTTTTCTCTGGGAACGGTGTTACGCAGCAGTCCGGTGGTTTGTGGAGACCGTGGACTGGAGCAGAGGACAAAACGGGCGCACACAAGGTAAGTTTTAACAACTTGAAATACTGAAATTGATGTATGTGTTGTTAAACGGATAAAAATATAACCAGGATTGCTTTGTTTTAACCTCCAGGCCCGCTCTGTCCACGGAGATCTATCTGCTGCGCAACACCCCAAAATTCCTCAGGTCATCCACCCAGTGAAGTAAGTACAGTTTTGTTAATTACCAGATCTTTAATTCCCGTGCTGGTAATTTCTTTTAAGCATCTCTTATTCATTTTTGTTCTCTTTTAAAGGTTATACTGGCCGAAATCGAGATGTTTCGATTATCTGTACCAGGACGCAGAGATGCTCCTGCGCAACTACCCGGTCCAAGCGACCATCTGTCCTTACGAGGACTCCAGCAGCGATGAAGACAGCGATGATGAAGAGGAGGACACGGAAAAGGAGCTGAACTAAATAGCTCTCTGGAGCCTGTGAACTGTTGCATAATGTGATAATATATTTCCTTTAACTTATTACTGTAAATACATGTACATAGATCTCTGTCGCTTCTTAACAAGAATGTAAATGCTTAAATTATTCCTCTAACATTTCTACCTCTTTTGTACTTTGAGTAAGTGAAATAAGTGAAATAAAATACAGTAAATGAATGTCGTTGTCTGGAGCTTCATTATTCTTTTGATTCAGGATTTTTAGTCAAATCAGCCACAGGAATAAATAGTGAAAATAGTTTTTTAGGGAATAGGGGGACTTTGAAAGTTACTGTTTGAAAGTCTGTTCCAAGACATCAGTTTTACTTTATCTCTGCACCAGGTGTACCGGGACTCTCCTTTTCATTGAAGCATCTCTTTAAAATACACTTTTCCACATATCTATTTCTCTCTCTGAGTTACTTCATTTATTAGAAGTTGTAGCAGAGACAGGGTTTTCACTTTACGTGACACATCCGCCTGCTTGTGGCCTGAACAGCTCTTTTCCCATGGATAAGTGCAAGGTGGTAAACGCGCCGTTTCCTGCGCAGTGACGCCTGAAGTGCGGAAAGTACGTGACATGTGGGAGGTGTCAACGGGGTCAGGAGAGCATAAAGATCTGCAGTGAGATAGTCAGTGGGGAAAGGTTTGTAGACTCCAGTGAAACTAGTTTAAACAGGAAAAAAACATTATTTGATGTGGTTTTGAGCTGAAATGTTATCTTGATAGACTTTAGGTCATCATATAGATGTGGGTTTGCCACCAAAAGATGTATGTCATACTAGTGAAGTGTTTTCTTCCCTCCACTCAGGATGAATGGTTCAATCACGCATGAATTAGGGCTGTATGAACACAATGTGGGGCCCTGGGTCCAAGATAAGGTGTTGGGTCTCTACTCTACTCGACGCCTTGTTCTTCCTGCTTGGTTGTGCATTGTGTATGTACACTATCACCCACAAATACACATTTAGGGCTTGCTACACACCACACATGACAATGTTATATCTCATCTAAGCCCGGTCTCACTCCAAAGTCGTGGAGATCCGGCACCTGGGCAGTGACTTGTGGCGTCAGAAACCAATGAAAAAAAAGGCGTCCTTTAACATCGGCATGATAAACGGCTGGTTGCTGTTATAGTTTAAGTTAAGGCGGCGAAAGTCTGTATGGGGTGAGCAGGAGCAGTGGTGGATGGGTCCAACAAACTGTGACTTTCACCCGAGAGAGCCGTGTTTGTGTCCCATAAGATTCTAAAGCCAAACCCTGTTCTTTTTTCCTAAACCCAACCATGTGTGATTGTTGTTGAAGGGAAAAGAAAAGTCAGTTTGCGGTGTTGTACCGACATAGTGCATTCATTTTGAGAGAGACTGTATGTACATGGTAAATTTCCTGTAAAAATGGAAGTGTGTTTTAAAAGAAGACAATGCATGTAACAGGCAGAACTTGACACGGCGTCCCAGGACGTCAACAACCAACACACCCAGGGTAGCTTTGGCGTCGTATGCGGACCAGAAAACCAAACGTCAATATGTGACGAGGTCGGAGTGAGAATGTGTTGCTCACCTAGAGATCCAGTCAGACACCAGCTAATTGTGTGTCCGATAGTTTTTGGTAATTAATATGAACACACATACACACATTACATTGTGTTAAGTGGTAAAATGTGCACATGCTTGCTGTGAGGAAATAGCTGGAGAGAAGGATAGAGTCACAACAGTAGCTGCATCAGGCAGTTTTAGGCAGAGAACGTGTTTGTGAATGAGTGTGAGGCAAATTTTTTTCCTTTGCATGCTGTTTTGTCGCAACAGAACTTCTTGAACTTTGGTGAACTTTGCACAGTTTTTCAGAAACATGCTGGTCTTTCCCAGGAGCTGGTGTGAAGTTGGGTGTGATGGATCCACACCTGAGGGGGTGAACACTGTTCAGTCCCGTGTTTGACCTCTGCGGTCACATGTGTCACAACTGCCATGAGACTCTTTGTTCTGAATTCACCAGTCTGTTTTTTTAAAGTTATAATCAGGTTTTAATTTAGCTTGATTACAGAAAATCTTCCTTTGTAAATCACAGTTATCCTTTAAAAGTTATTATTTTCTCAGCACTTGTCATAAATTAATCACAATTTGGTGCTCAAAATTAAGCACTCATGATTATACAATAATAATTTTCTGCTAATTAATAAAATCAACCCCACAATTTTATTTGGAAATGCACCATGCTGATATCACAGTATCATCTAAAAAAATAATTTGTAAAATTGATTTAGAGCTTGTCTACAAGACAGAGCCACAGGATGAAGTGATGATGCAGGAAGTCCTTTATAAGTGTACCAGTTGATACTGAGTTGTAGTTGTAGGTCCCAAAGCCTCTTTTTTGGGACATATTTCTTATGAAATTGTGTAAATGCAAATATTAGGGCGCTACAATGACATAAATCGTCACACAAGCAGGAAATTTGGAAAGTAGTATCCTGAAACAGAGGGGAAAGTAGCAAAATAAGATTCTGGGGCTTGCTGCCATTTTAAAACAAAAAAATGATTGTCCGTTTGACAAATTCTCATCAAAATTGATTAAATTTTATCACTTTGTGTTTGATATCACTGCTTCACTTGTTTGTAGAAACCTTCCTAAGTTGATAAGCTTCAGTTTGCGCCCAAGTTGACCTTTATATCTTGAAAATTACACTTGCTTTGGCCTAAATTTGTCACAATACCTCAAGTCAGAGAAACCAGACAGTCTACTTGCCAGCAATGTGAATCTGAAAGTGTTCAGTTCCCCAAAGTTTTAAGTTAGAAATGTACAGAATGGGTGCCCAGCATTTAGAAACTGCTGGATGCTAACTTGAATATGTTGGGAAATTGGCATAGTTAGGGTAATTAGCATTGATTAGCACACTAAGAAAATATGAAGTGGTTTGGGGGCTACTGAGGATGCTGAATATAACACTGCAGTTCATTAAATTACTACAAAGCATAATTTTGTGATCGTGGGTGTCCTGCTGAGTTACTATCCTGCCTGGTAAGTAAATCAGCCTTTGCAATAATAACACCTTGCAGAACAGAATTTATATACATATTAAGTTATTGGCACACTTATGTGAAGCATTTTTATTTATTTTTACAGTTATAAAGTAGCAGCAGGTTTAAAATTATTTGTGCTGGTAGATGTAGTGGGCTACCTGCTGTTGTACAGTCGGTTTATACACCACAAATAAATGTCTGTGACTTGTTAAAAATAGAAAGCATAGTGTTAAAATATGATGTTATAGAGAAGTTAAATGTGAAGCTGCTTGAACTTCAACACGTGTGTGCATCCTTTAAACCGCGTACCAAGACGTGTCATCTAATGCGAACCCTGTGCTCATTAAAATACATTATCATGGAGGTTATTATTTAAACATTCACATTTTGCATTTCTGATTTAATGACTTGAACTCTGCAGCTGACCCCGGTGCCAACCCTTCAAGCCTCTCCGTGGGAACCGTTGGGATCATCATTAGGTGTTTTGCAGGGTGCAAAGTTTACACACCTTGTTAAGGTGAAACATGGACACGGTGGCCTCTGACTGCACCAGGGGCGCTGCACTGCCACTGACCTGTTGACCCCAGCTGGACAAACTGTTTTTTAATCACAATGAATTAACAAATTTGTTTTTGTTCAGATTTTATTTTAACACCTGCTCAGACTTTAACAAGTAAAGTCAACATTTATAAAGACAGTAGAGGTGTAAAGATGCAGACAAACGTTGAACTGAATGTTTTCTGGAACAAGTGATCACCTTGGTGGCTGCTGAGAAACAAAATAAATGTAATATTCATACACAGACCTGACATTAGGAGTTATGATGATGACACTCTGATAACCTCTTCAGCCCTAACCTGCGTGGCTGAGACTTTCCCAGGCCTGGGTGTCAGAGCTGGTGGTTTCAGGAGTGTCACTTACTGGGGTGTGAAATTTGCTCACCTCCAGACTTCAATATAAAAGCAGCCAGGACTGATGCCCTGTCTGATGAACTTATAACCTTTACTCCAGGCTGGAATTATAATATATATTGGAGGGAACAAATCCCCGCCACATATTCAGATATGCTCAAAATGCCCCCCTGCCTTCAACATATTAATAATAATAATAAAAAACAAAATGCTGAGAGCTATGACAGGCAACCACACACTGCTGTCTGAAGTTATCATTAGAAAATGCAATCATTATCATAAATAAACTAAACAAATAATTCTTATTATTATGCTATTGGACAATGTGTAAATGCAAATTCCAAATACTGCCTGGGAACACATAAAGATGTCTGGAATATTTTTATTAAAGTACATTGGTTTTTAAGTAGTTCTGGGCTATAAGATTTATTTTTGTTTTCATCCACAGACTTTAAAAAAATATATTAAAACAGAGAAATTGATTGGAATTTTTACCCTGATCAAGAAGCATCTGAAAATGTAATTTTTAATCATCTAGGATTTTTCCCCCAGAGTGCTTGAAAATGGTCAGTTTAGCTGTTATGTTTCTAAAAATTTATCCTGGGAGAAATTTTGCCTTACTCCACCTTCAGGATTGGGTCCCCCCAAATATTAAATAGGTCATTACAGCCCTGTTTTTACTGTACAAACTTAATGTCAACTGAAGCAGACATTTCTTAGATTGTTTTTATTTTTACACACAAATAAATGACCTAGTGTTTAGTGGTAGAAGTTACACATACAGTCGGAGATTGCTGAGAGAAAACTAAACTTATATACAGTCTCAACACTACCTGCACTGGGCAGTTTCAGACATTGACTGTGTTTGTGAATGAGTTTGAAGCAAAGTGTTTGAATCAAATGCTCATTTTCCATGTGATGAATTTACATTTTTAAATGAGATTTTTTTTTAGTTGGACCTGTACATGCTGTCTCAACAGAACCTTGTGAACTTTGGTGAACTTTGCACAGTTTTTCAGACACATGCTGCTCTTTCCCAGGAGCTAGTGTGAAGTTGGGTGTGAGGAATACACATCTGAGGGGTTAAAAGCTGTTCAGTCCCATGTTTGACCTCTGCGGTCCAAGTTATGGTCAGGTTTTAATACAAAATATTAACTGATGGATATCAGCCTTCCACCGGTCCAGCCTGATTATTTAAGATCCTCATTTTTAGATCATAATCATCCTTTTCAAGTGATAATTTTCTAAGCAATCGTCACACATAAACTCAGAATTTTTAAGTTTTCATGATCATGCAATGATTTTGCAGCTGAAGATGTTACTTTTTGTGATTTTGATCTTGTATTCTGTAGGGGACATTCTGTCTTGCCACAGTATAACTTTGTGAACTTTGGTGAACTTTGCGCAGTTTCAACTTTTCAGACACATGCTGCTCTTTCCCAGGAGCTGGTGTGAACTTGGGCGTGAGGAATACACACCTGAGGGGGTGAACTCTGTTCAGTCCCATGTTTGAATTCAGTGGTCACATGTGTCACAACTGCTATGAATCCTGGCTTTGCCTTTAAATACATTTTAAAGTAATAGTCAGGTTTTAATGTAGAATTAAACTGATGGATGTCCCCTGGTCCAGCCTGATTACTAAAGATCTTCCTTTATAGATCATAATCATCCTGTAAAATTTCCAATTTTTTAAGCAACTGTCACACATAAACTCATCATTTTTAAGTATTCCTGATTATGTAATACTTTTTTTGGCTGAAGATGTTGCTTTCTGTCATTTTGTTTGTACCCCGTGGGATCATAGATGGATGGATGAATGGCTGGGTGGACAGATAGATGGATACTGCATTCATCTCAAAGGAAATTAGGCACCCAGTAGGCAGTAGACAGCTCTACCAGGCGGTTTCAGGCATAGAACATGTTTGAGAATCAGTGTGAAGAATTTTTTTTTCTTAATTTTATTTTATTTTTTTACCTTTTTATGCTGTCCTGTCCCAGTGTAACTGTGAACTCTGGTGAACTTTACAGTTTTTACAGTTTCAACTTTTCAGACACATGCTGCTCTTTCCCAAGAGCTGGTGTGAAGCTGGGCGTGAGGAATACACACCTGAGGGGGTGAACTCTGTTCAGTCCCATGTTTGACCTCAGCGGTCACATGTGTCACAACTGCCATGAACCCTGTCTTTGCAGCCGAATACATCTGCCTGTTTTTAAAGTTATAATCAGGATCTAATATAGAACATAAAGGTCCAACCTGTTTACATAACATCTTCCTTTGTAAGCTATATCCTTTAGAAGTTATCATTTTCTAAGTAGTTGTCATAATTAAATTCAGTTAGTGCTGCTCAAAATGAAGTATTCATAATCATGCAATATTTTGTGTTACTTTGTTTTATTTTCTACTCATTTGGAAAGTGTGACTGTCGCCTGCCTCCGTGAACTTTGACTGGGCCTGTGGTGTGATCACAGACACCAGACAGAGGTGACAAAGTGTGACTCAGTCGAGCTGAGACTGAACCTACTGATTCTCACAGTCACGCCTCTGCTAGTCACTGGAGACACAGGGCTTGTTAGAATATTTGTGACACAGGATTGACTCTGGCTGGCTGTTTTCAAAGGCAGTTCAGTTGTAAGCCAAAAGGGGGCACTGTGTCTCTGATAACGTACAAGTTTGAGCATGTAGACAGGAAGTGCTGCTGTGTGTGGGGCAGAAAGTTTGAATCTTACTGCTGTGCATCTGATGTGATAAAACAAAGTGACTCTCCATGCATCAGTGGATGATGTGGCACAGTAAGTACTGCTTCACTCCATGTTTAACTTTAATGATTTCTACTTTGTGTGTGTCCAGGAATTACTTTAAGAAACTGATATTTTCACTGCCTCTCAGAGCAGCAGTGACAAAGGAAATTAAATTAAGTGTTATGGTAGCTGTCATAATCATACAACTTGTTTGGTGATATTGGTTGTGTGTGCACAAGTGTCACCTCAAACCTCAACATTCAGCTGTGTGTGTTGTGTGTAAGCACCAGTAGATGCTTCTTCACAGTAGAACCAGCACAACTTAAAGAAATATTTCACTGCTGGAGAGATGGTCTTTGTATAAAACTGGGCTGTTTATGTAATAGAAAGACAAAACTAATTTTAAAAATTGTGCTACACAACCAGAGAAAACAGAAAAAAAGGGCTGTGGGATTTGCTTTAGCTCAAGAGTTAGAGATCCTACAACTACCAGAATGCACTGCACCACACCAGATGAATAATGGTGCGTTCGTTTTGTACTCAGAGGTCAGAAATTCCCAGTTCCAAGTCAGAAGTTTAAACTCCAACACACCCTGAGATCGGATTTCCAACTCAGAGCAACCGCATCAACCCTGACTTACGAATTCAAGATGGCTGCCGGTCGCATACATAGTGAGTAAACACTCTGCTAAAGTACTGTTTATAGCAATTTATCTTATTTGTTTTACATTAGGTCAGCCTCATCTGCGGCGTTCATCAGTTGGAGTGCATGATGGTTTTGAAGCTGTCTATACTCCGAAAGTGCAAGGGCAACAAAGGCTTTCTTGCGGGCGTCCATGTTTTTTCCCGGCTTGTCCACTGTTGTCAACTAGAATGCAAAAACTGTTGACTACTCGGAGATGACGTCATTCCCATTTCGACTTCGGACCTCCGAGTACAAAACAAATGCACCATAAACACTGCTGCTGGTGCATGACGTAATGCAGCTTGGCCGTTTTTTTAACAGGAAACAATATGGCGGCCAGCTAGTATTAAATGATATTGAATTACAGCTATATGATAAGCTAAAATATGTTTCTGTAAACATTATAGGCAAAAAATAAGCAACACAGTAACAGGATCTTGGTTCATATTTGATCACCACTTAGTTTTACTTTTTCATCTCAGTTTTTTCAGCCTCCGTCGGCGCCCACTTTCTGACTTTCTGTTCACAAAGTCTTGTATTACAGCCAAACAGTGCACTAAAATATTTTTGTAAAGACTTTTCAGGTGCGAAATTAGGAATACGGTAATAGAATCTTGGCTTATATTTGATCAGCACTGCCAAGTTTTACTGTTTTGAGAAAGTTTGAGGGTTTGAGAAAGAGAGGGGCGGGTCTTTCTCTCCAACTGCTTCTATGCTCGTCTGTGGTGGCCTATTGAAAATCAAGCATATCTTCCATACCCTGTTTAAATTCCTTAAAAAAAAGTTAACCTAAGACCCTTCTGTTGCCTTGTTTGGCATTGCTGGTGCAGACGATCCCAACTTGAGCACCATATGGTGACTTTTGCTCTGCTCTTGGCCCAGCGCGCCATCTTGCCCAAATGGAAGGATGCTGCCCAGCCCACATCTGGCCAGTGGCTTCCAGATGTAATGTCCTGCCTAAAAGTAGAGATGCTGCACTTCTCTGCCAGTCGTTTGCTTTATCGAGAAAAACTTTGTAAGAGCTGGGGACCCTTTTTGTCTCAATTTTATAACACCCAAACGACATCAGCTGTTACTGTGTTTTAATTCGGCCCTTGACATAAAAAATGAAAAAAGTAAAACCATGGATGTTGCTGTTCTGCATATTAAATTCTAGACATTGTGCCTCAGAAATATTTAAAGGAAGGAAACAATTGGGGATAGGAGAAGGATGGGTGGGGGGTGGGAGGGAAGGGCTGTTGTATAGGGCTGCAACGATTAGTCGACTAATCGTTGACTAATCGACTATTAAAATAATGATTTTAGTAGTCGACTAATTGGTTTGAGTCATTTTTCATAGAAAAGTACTATGAAAGTACCCCAAAAAACTCTTATTACAGCTTCTTACGTTCAAATATTGGCAGCTTTACACACTCTCCCTTGGCAGTGAACGAAAGCCCTTTTGCGTGAGTACGAAACAAGGCATTAGATGACATAATTTTGGGGTTTGGGAGAGACAGACCGACATTTTTCAACATTTTAACACATTTTTCGATAAAATAATTAGTCAACTAATCGAAGAAATAATCGATTAGTCGACAATGAAAATAATTGTTAGTTGCAGCCTAATGTTGTATCATATAAAGTATAATTGTAATCGCCTCAGGGTCATGTCTACTTTTGTTTGTTTTGCACACTGATGTACTGTGTGGCTTTTTTGTTTGTTTGTTTTTCCTTTTTTGAAAACCTTAATAAAATATTAAAAAAAAAAAAAAAAAGCAAACTATAAAAGAAGGAAAGAACATTATATCAGTTGAATTTAGCTTTGGAGCCAGAGTTTGAAACCACTTCTACTCACGTTAGTGGGGCATAAGTCCCACTATAACTCAACATATCTGGCCTGTTTTAGCTTTGACTGGAAAAATGCTTCCACCAGATTATAAAACACACATTATGTGAAGTTGACTATCTAAATGTGCACATTAATTTTCCTATTGGTGGTTGGTTATTGGTCTCCAAACAGATCATGGCTCTGCCCATCATTATAGGAGAAGAATGGGACCAGCACTACACTCTGGCTCTGATGCAAAATGTGCATGCTGTCACTGATGCTGTCATGTCCTTTCCTTCTGTTATAGTTTCCTTGATGAAAATGTGGAAGTAGGCTACAGTCTAAGCCAGCAAAAATTTGAGCTGAGGGATGAGCAGGGAGATCTGGGCGCTGGTAAGATGGAGAGAAGTTTACCACAGTTCATTTACACATACTACACACACTGTTATGACACAAAGCTGGATGTAAATTGGCAAAGAACCCCTTTAAGTTCCCTTGTTCTTGTTCTTCTTCCTCTTCCTCTTCTTCTTCTTCTTCTTCTTCTTCGTCTTCTTCTTCATATTGAAAAACTCCTTGAAAAAACTTAAATTAACCTCCAGTGCTTCCCTCAGATAAGCTGACATTTATTTAAAGCTACACAGTTCAATGAGTGCACCTGACCAACAGATGGGGCAAGATAGCCAAAAGTGAGATTCTAACTGGCTCTGGGCCCAGAGATGTAACTTGGCAGTCCTTCCAGCTGGGGGCTGTGTTGCACTGGTACAGTAACCAGTACATTTCCGTTATAGGATAATTAAAACTCCACATATAGAAAAGATAAAATGATTTTGGAAGGTTTGGCATGTGAGTTTTTGTAAAGAAATGAATACAGACACAGAATATTAAACATTACATAACACAAATGTTCTTATTTTATCTTTGAAAATGCATATTATATGATTGTAAATCGTTGTGGTTCAGAATGGGTTACAGTTTTTTACATTTTAGTGCAGTGCAGTAGAAAATGCAGCCTATTTTATTTTTTTCTTTCTTTCTTTCTTTTTTTTTTATTTAGAAATAAATTCAATTAAATCGTGTTAACGTGTAAGAGGATCCCAACGGTTTTAATTCTGTCTGCTAGAATTTGTGGTTGTAGCTACAGATTTCAAAAGCCATGTATTGCTTTAGGGTCCAAAATTGATAATAAAAATATAATAAAATAAAATAAAGGTAGGTTATGATTATAAAACAGAAAAAAACCTATTTTGGATTTATTAAAATTTCTCTAAAAGACAAAGCATTATTTTTATTTATCCAAAATCTTTTTCTCATAAAACAGAACATATTTTTCTGCTTATTTTACTTCATATTTATTTAATTTTTACAAGATTTTTTATTTGTGTCTTTTATTTTAGATTTATTTTATATATTTATTTGACAAATTACTTGTTATTTCAGTGTCATTTATTAGCTTTGTAAAAGCATGCAGGTTACACATCCCCTCACAGCACTGTACATAATGTAGCACCTGCCATTCACGCCTGCTGAGAATCTAATGCACATAAACAGCGGTGTGATTAAGCAGCAACCAGACTGAGCAGCAGCCTTGCAGTAATGAGACGGAGGACAAGAAGCGTAAATCTGTCAATGAAGCGAGCGCCTTCATACCTTGTTTCCTCTGTCGAGCGAGAGAAACCACAGAGTTGCTCCCAGCACATAAACATTCTGCCTCACGTCGCTGTCTAAGAGATATAGCTGTTGTGCTTTTCTACACCTTGTTATCTCGGCCTCCACTTAAATAGTTAGTTTGGTCTCCTCTCTCTGAGATGTGTGCAGTGGAGATAATTACAATTTCAGCAACGTTTGCCAGGTGATTACCTCATAATCCCCTATTTCATTTGATAAGTCACGCATTGATTTAACTCAGAGTTGGACCTAATGGAGTATCTTTTCCACCGCCACAGTGATTTGTATGCTGGGGCGAAAGGACAATGGTGGATTGGAGGCAGAAAAACAGCCGCTCGCCATTCCTGTTCACTCTGGTGAAAGATGAGCAACGAGAAGGCAGGTTTAATCACAGCAACCTGAATGCAAACAGTAAATCACTGCAATGGCTGATACAGTAATGTGTGGCGGTGGTTAGAATAGTTCCTCTCACATAAAAAGCTCCCTGTTTCCTTTTTTTTATATTCTCTCCTCCTGCAGGCGGGGAGGGGGATGGAGTGATGAGAGATAAGAAGAGTGAAGGAAAGAGAGACCTGCTTGGTATTCACCTGTCTCTCTGGATCAATAAAGGTAATTTGGGCTGATTCCTCCCTGTAGGCCTCTTAGCAGACAGACGGGGAGAGGGGTCAGCCACTGCTGAGCTGCGGGGAGCTGGAATAACTTAGAAACACACTCTGCAAATTACTGCCCCTGTTTGAGAATCTCTCATTCAGCTATTCCTCTGCCCTGACAGGAGCAACAATGTGATGCAGAGTCCTCTCAAAAATGTGGACTGGAGGTAAGAAAGGGTACACTGCCCTGTAGTTTTTAGACTTCAAAACTACAAGAGATACCCATATCTGATAGAAGTGGCTACATTAGATAAGATGGCTGCCTTTAAGCTTTCTGGACATCCTGCAATTTTGCCAGACTTTTCCCACCAAAATAAAACAAAAAAACAAAAACTAAAAAAGAACCTAACTTATACCCAGTGATGGGTAGAGAAAATGTATGTAAAAAAAAAAAAAAAAAAAAAAAAAAAAGACTGACGTAAAACTGAAAATTACCATTGCCATTCCAGAATACAGGGTAAGTAGTTTAAATTACTCAAAGTACAAGTTTTTGAAATTGTTGAGGTTGTACGACCTCATCCAAAATAATGGGGAAAAAACATATTTAACACTTTTATCTAAAATGAAGTAGAGTATATAGGCTAATCAAAAAAATTAAATAAGTATTTCACTGCTGGAAAGATGGTATTTACATTAAAACAAGCCTGTCTATGCAGTAGAATGACATATAAGCTTTGAAAATTGGTGCTGCATGACTAGAGAAAACAGAGGAAAAGGGTTGTGGCATTTGATTTTACTCAAGAGATAGAAAACCTACAACTACCACAATGCACTGCATCTCATCGGATCAATAAACGCTCCTGCTGGTGGGTGACGTAATGCAAGCTTGGTTGTTTTTCCACAAGAGTACAATATGGCAGTTAAACAGTAAAACTGTAATAGTTGAAATTGGTTCCTGAAAACATTTGAAGCCAGAAATCAAAGCTGTAATGATACGATACAATACGATACGATATGATGCGATGCGATGTGATATGATATACTTTATTGTCCCTGTAGAGAAATTTATCTTGCACTCAGTAGCTGCGCAAATATTGCTGCCTTACAAAAATAGTCCAGAGAAATGAAGCATACACCATAAAAACATAAAAACAGTATTGCACATAACACCAGCAGATAACAGAGCACCATAAGCAAAACACAACACAACCCGAAAGCATCAAGCTTTAATCATTTAAAATCTTGATTGTGGTTGGCACAAATTAATTTTTAAAAAGATTCAGTTTCAGCTTAGTTTTACTGATGATCTCAGTTTTTCAGCCTCTGCTTTTTTTATTCTTTTTTTTTTACAATACAGGAAACAATATGGTGCACACTTCCTGTTCACAGATTCTCGTATTACAACCAAACAGTGCACTAAAATATGTTTCTGAAGACATTTTAGACAAAAAATAGGCAATATAGTTACAGAATCTTGGTTTATATTTGATCATTTGGTCTGAATTTGAGAGAGAAAGAGAGGGGTGGGTCTCTCTCTCTTGATCCGCTTCTGTTGTCTTTGTGTCCGTGGTGGTGGGTACAAAAATGAGGCAGTACAATCTGTAGTTTGAGCAACAGCGCTAGAGCCAGCAAAAATTGAAAATTTGAGTTGGGAGATGAGCAGGGAGATCTGTGCGGTGATAAGATGGAGGGAAGTTTATCACAGTTCATTTACACATACTACCCATATTATTATGATACAAAGCTGGTTGAAAATCAGCAAAGTACACTGTAATCCCCAATTTGCGCACTCAACTTAAAACATTTTGGAGACGGCTAAAAATTTTAAGTTTAGTACAAAACAGTATCTAGTAAATGTATCTTTGTCCTTTTACTTTTTCCTTTTAAAAATAATATTTTCAAATGGAAACCTGACAAATTTTTGGATCTGCTCCTGCAATCTATAATTCTGTAATTTGAGCTGTTAATGGGCCTTAAATTAATTAACTAACTAAATTGACTTTAGAAATTTTAGTGAAATTAACTCAAAACTCAAAAATTGTTGAATTAACATGAAAAATGATGTCTGGCTCACAATGGATGAGTTTTTGTGTCAAGTGAACATAACGTTTATATGTCATTTTGACAATCTGGGACATTTGTGTAGACTTTACATTGAAATTCTGTGCCATGGATAGGTGGGGGTTTACACTGTATACCTTAAGGATGTCTCCTACTTTCTGTCCATCTCTTTCTCTCCACCCCTCTCTTCCTTATTATAACATCATAGATTAATGTGACACATGAAAGATTTACATAGCTGATGTTAGCTAGCTACCTACATTTCCACCTACAGTATGTGCAATTTACTTAAATGTGCTTGCGGGCATTAGAAGAAGGTTTTTAAAAGCAGAGATCTTAGTGTTTCTCCGGAGGCACAGCAGCACTTCATCATGTAACTGTTGTCTATTTTAGATTTGGGTTTAAAAGTGTAGCCAGATGTTGTCAGGGATCGTCGCTGAAAGCTGCCTCTTGTCTTGGGTTTTCCTCTGTCACCATGGCATTGCGGTCAAAAGACAGGTGGTGCTTCTTTTTACTCCAGGCAGATTGAAACTCCACGTCTGAAGTAGAGGTGTTCCTCATGCTCTCCTGCCCTACACTTAATTCTTTTATACAGTGCAGACTCAATGTAATGAAGGTATAAATGGCAAATGTAGAGAGGTAAAAAGTAGATCACTGGCTCAAAAAATATACTCGAGTACAAAGTAAAAATACAGTTTAAAAAAGGAGCATGAAAAGTATTCTTTCCTTAAAAACCTATTTTTTTTTACTCATGTGTTACTTGTAACATGTTACTACCCACCCCTGTTCTCACCATTATCCTAGCCTGAAAACCAAAAGTTTCGTCATGACTATCAGTTTTCACATTTTCAACTTTGCAGCTTTGTGAAAAAGCTGTGATGTGCTACCAAACTGTTCAAAGAGGGGGTATGATACCCATGAAGAAGATGGTTTTTGGAGGTGGGAGCTGGGCGTTCAGATTCACAGTTCAGGCCTCATAAATTACCATGGAAACAGGGGTGTCAGGTTGAATGAGAAATAACTCTTGCAATGCACACACATACACGCATCACAACCCTAAAGCAAGAACATGGCATTAAATCTTGGACTGTGGTTTTCCTTTAGATCCTTTAGGGTTTGATTAAACCTCATTTGTTCCCATCCTGCTGCTGAAAACATTTTAATAGATGTAAATGTTTTCCCTGCCATTTTGTTTTATTTTTTTTGTCACATTCCTGATCCCAACCTCTGCCTCTCAGTCTCTTGGGGCTGCAGCGGGTCTCATCAGTCGCTTATAAGCATGGAGGATGCCGTCCGTCATGTGGGGTCACCAGTCTGAGAGGAATGCTGTGTGTCAGGAGTGTCAGGGGTGGAAGGGAAGTCCCGAGGGACACAAAACCCACAAAGATTGAACCCCACCTTGGGCCAATCACCGCTGTGAGTCCTGCTCATGCGGTGTATTTCATCAAAGTACACAGGTGTGCGCCGCACCTGCACACATTTTCTTTCCCACTTATATTCACATGCAGGCTCAGTGTTGTGACCTTCTCACATGTTACACACATATGCTCATACATGCTCTTTTTTTCACACTGCCTCGTATGAGAAGGCGTAATGTTGACTGCAAAAAGGTTTTCATTGTACGTCGATTGCAGCAGAACAGAGGTGAAACAGGTTGTTGGTGTAGGCTATGACAGGGCAGGTCCCTTTGAGTTTTCATGCATGTTAATGGAGGAGAAGAATGAGGGTCCACATACTTCTCTCATGTTTTGGACAGAGGTGGGACCAAGTCATTGTCTTGCAAGTCACAATAAGTATTTGCACTGAAGTCCAAGTCAAGACAGGCAAGTTCCATGTCCTAAACTTTGAGTTTTGAGTCATAAACAGGTCATAATATGCTCTTCACTAAATGTAATGCAATTTAAACAACAGGCTTGCAACATATTTGATTGTAAAAACTCATGAATTCTTTGTATTTATTTGTCAAGTTTGCTAGAAGTTGTGTCTCCACCTGTAATTTTTTGACTCACGTTTTGCATACTGTTGACCACCTGTAGTTTTTGTACATGAATCAAATGATCTTCGTTATCATTTTCTAACAGCCGCTTATTGACGTTATCTTAGTTCTTCATGGTTCTCCTCTGCAGCTCGACTGGATGCTGTTGGATAGGTTCAAATAAAGTGGATCTGGGATATGAAGTGTCGGCTTGCTGGAAATGAATAGTGTTTATTTTAATGGATTCAGGTAATAAAGGGAAATTAATTGATTAGTCGCAAACTTTTTAAATAACACTTCAGTCAGGATTACTTTAGACAAAGACAATTTTATTTCCATTTGCAGTGTTATATTTGGCGGTATGGCTCTGTTCTCTCACAGAAAGCCTCTTCCATGTGCCTACGTGGAAAGCCTAAGGCAGAGAGAGCCAAACCTCCCTGCCCTTCCATGCGCCTACATGGAAAGCCTAAGACCGGGAGATCAGCAGCAAAGACCCCCCAGGAACAGAACCGAGTAACAGAAATGACACTGATAAATCAGACACAGCATGAAAAGGAGGAGCTGGGTTGGAGGTGGGTTGCAAAGTGACTTACAGAGGAAGCAGCAACAGTAAGCAGGCCAGAGGAGTTTAAATAGGAGGTTTAAACTCATGTCTTGTGTGAGAAACTAAACTTTCATCTTCATCTTTCGTCACCTCTTTCATCTCAGACTATAAACCTTCTCCAGTCCGGTCTGAGTGGAGTCCTGCAGGGATCAGCTGTGCAGACCGGCAGCTAGTGGCTGCTTGCTCCACTGCCGTTAAGTGGCTAGCAAAACATCCTGGTGCAGACTATTTACTGGAGTGTACAGCCTGTCGCTCATGCCGCATTCTAAAATACACAGCTCTTCTCTACTTAGTTTTTAGTATCAAGATCTATTTTTAGCTTGTCATTGTCTTGTTTTCGTCATGGAAAAAAGGTTATTGACAAAAAAATGTCATCATAGTTTTCATCAATGACATTAACACCGGAAGTCCACACCTGGGGTTTTGGGGGAAAACCATGTGGTCCTGCAGCCTGTAAATCTTTGTCTTCAGAAATGCAGTGTGATCGAATTATCTAGAAAAAAAGCGTTCAGAAAACTTTTCTGAATGTAGTGTCAAGTTTACAAAGCATGCAGTCATTTATAAATTAAATAAACATACAGAGTGGC